CCCCCCCCCCCCCCCCCCCCCCCGCCTCTCTCCGCCCCGCCGTCCCCTTCAGGAGCCTTGTCAGTCTCTGTTTAGTACCCATTGGCGAGAGCAGGAGGAGGGAGGTGGCGCGACGATTGAAGGGGTAAGTTGCGAGCTGGCCGAGGGAGGTATAGTGATGAGGGGAGAACCGGAGGTGAAAAATCCCCCCGCCTTCCCCCGTCCAGGAGACCGCTCTGGATCCGTCTATGTCCATCGAATCTTACTTTTCCGTTTGGTCACCGTGAAATCTTGCATATCGATGTATGTATTGCGAAACATATCGTTATAAGTCGATCAGATTTTAGTCTGAATCAAAGAAACTGCACTTTCCTAACATTTTTCCATCAATTCGAAATTTCTGTTTTTTGTTTAGTGGCTCAACAGAACAAAACATCGGCATGCCAGCTACTACATTTGGTTCGCAACGTTTCGCTCAGCCAATTGGAGTGCCCTCAAATCGTCTGCCTTCGTTTGGAAGTCAATCCACGTACGAGAAACCTTTCAACCGCTACGTCAATGCAAGACAGGTTTACAACTTTTCCTGAAAATTATGCTGAACATGATTTGAAATTTACCGTTGGTGAATTTCAGTTCCTAATGATATTTTTATTTAACCTGCTCGCACTCAAAGATTTTAGAATTAGTGATTTTCAATTCTAGAATTAACTGCAGTTACGAGCTTGATCGAAAATTTGAATGAGTTTGATGAAATTCTTTCTTAAATAACTTATTTTATAGCAATTCAAATAGTTATTCTTTCTTTTGAAAAGTTAAGAAACCTGCTGCATCCAGTCTGCCACGAATTCGTAATTGATAAACACAGGTCTTTTGACATCCTTTCCCGTCAGTGGTTGTTGTTGGTCAGAGCGCTATGATCATATGTCTTTTTTTAGGGGCTTACGCATGAAAGATTTTGTGTTAAAGATAAAATGTCCTTTGTTCACGCTATAAGATAGACCCATTTTAAAAAAACTAAAGGGTGCGTCGCAACCGTCGTGTAGACGAAATCTAGTTATGGTATCGAGCTATGGCGCTCACAGTTTAATGGATCGAAACGTCTTGCCTTATCATTTCCTCATCCTCTCAGCCGTTTAAGCTCTCTGGTCTTTTTTTCTTTTTTCCCCGTCTATTCCGGCTCGGTCTTAAGTAATTTACTATGAGTTTTAAATGAATTTAGGATCCAGGAACAAGCGATCGCGAGCCAACACCGCCGCGGCTTGATTACGCTGCCATTACGGTTGGTCAGTCCGATGAAAGCTTGTCCGCAATCGCAAGGTATTTTCAGGGAAAATTTCGCCTGCCTGAAGTACCGCTTTATCAAAAAAAAGTCGTAGACTCTTAGGTTTGGTCAAGCATTGCTAGTTATCGCTGTTTGTTAGAAAAAAATAAAATCTTGGTGGAATGCCAGTTTTCAAAAATCGAGCCGGGAATTTGCTTTACACGATGTTAAATTAAAATAC